CATTGGCTTTGGGTGCTCACTCCAGTACTTCTCCACGTTACAAAGCCGTCTGCCGGCCTTCCAGAAGTGGCAGCAACTTGGAGATCAGCTGCTTCTCATGCTTCTCATCCGCCAGCTTACCTTAGCAGCTAAAAGAACGCGTATGGGGACAATACTGAGTAGCATTAAACACAACACACTGCGAGGGCATGATGCTTGGCGAATGAACATGTGCTTTTTTTCTTCAGTAGCTGCATGGTAAATCCTGCTCCTCGTGCAAGCCTGACTATAGCTTCTGACATTGCGTAAAACTCGTATTCTGCCCTAAAGTTCCAGCACCGAAACGTGTGTGTGTGCGTGTGGTGCGTGCGTGGCGTGCTCCATAGTTTCGCCAACACGAACCAAAAGCACCATAATCCGCAAGGGAAGCCCCAGCGAATGCATCAATTCGCACAATGATACTCGATGGTCTTAGGGTTACTTGATGTTACTATAAAGCGATACACAACTACTCATACTACTTTCCCATGGACATTACTTCAGTTTAATGGTATCCCAAACGCGCAGTCTAATTATTTGGCTATAAAATTCAACAGGGACCCCCTAAAAAGGGTTGGTGGATCCCAACCTTGATGATGTTCACCATTTCGGGTCCCCAATTGAAATTCCAGAAGGGCTGCTTTGAGCGTTGGGTTTTTGAACCCATGTCTTCTTTGACTCATTTAATCTCGCCCCCTTCATAGGACCCTCTGAAAGGTGGTTGGTGGATCCCAACCTTGATGTCCATGTCGACCAATCAAACATCATGCTGTGGGTGGACGAAATCCTGCACCGCTTGGAAACTATGGGAAACCATTGTTTGTTGGTATTTACAAGGGAATCATTGAATCATCATGCCAGGGATTTTTAGGTGGTGCGAAATGGATTTGGTCCACAGTACCCATTCAGGTCCGTGACCATTAGCCTCGCTTCAGTCTCCTCTCTCAGAGCCGTGAGCTGGGGCGCCCATCCACGCCCCGAAGCTGCCGTAGCGGCCCGGGTCAACGCCCCCGCCCCTAGAGCAGGCGTCCACCACCTGCGCCCGAGGAAACAAAAAAACATGCTTTCTGCTCCCTGCGAAAAGTTTAACTTTTAGTGGTTTAACGGAAAACCCATTAGTTGGCAAAAAGTTAAAGTCCTAACATCAACGCAACATGCACCAAAAGATAGCACAATATGGGTGTGGGTCAAAACCCCGGTTGGCTACCCAGTGAACATCCCAATCCAACCACGAAAATAGGTTCTAACATCGGTGGCGAATTCACCTACCAACCAAAATGGGATCCCATTGGTTTTGACCCACAGCCAGGTGTGGGTCAAAAATAAATAAGTACCCAGAATGGAACCTTGGGAAATGGAAACAATGACTAAAAAACCTCGCAGGTCCCCTAAAAACCACCAAGAACCACAAAAAACCACCCCACGGCTGCCCTCCAAAAAAAAGACGCACCCATAGTATTCCGTATGATATTGCGGGTCTCAACATGGGTCCCGGTTGGTGTCCCTTTGCTCGCCGCTAAATATCAAAAGGAGGTTCACCATGTTGAGAATCTGAGAATCTCTCCTGGGCTGCTTTCAGAAAGACACTAAGAAACCTGGGTTGACGGTTAGTGGGAGGCAGGCCATGTATTTGCCCAGCCAGACCTCTTGTGAATTTTCATAAGAAAACAGAGCTCGCTGTAGGTTGGCAGTTGACTGTAGGGGATAGGGGGAACCTCCGTCCAAACAAGGGAGCAACAAGGGCACAATGGACAAAAGTACTTGGTCCTTCAAAGGTGATGAGAATAGTTGGCGGCCCCGGATGATTCATGGGACATTGCTCCGCAAACCAACAGACTATTATCACTCTTTTGAGCAAGCACCTGCCGTCCTGCGCTTGGGATAAAGAAGGCTTGAGTATGGTTGACAGCAAACATGTGTTCCAAAGTCAAGGCCCATCCCCCGAGGGATCAAAGTACTTTCCGCTACTGGGGTCAAACAGTAAACTGTATCTGGGTTTGTCTTCAGTCAAAAAAATAGGGAACCCGGAACCCCCAAAATCGGGCAATTCCACCTCCAGGGATGTTCTACCCCCCACATCCGGTGTTCCTGTGTTTCCCCTTGACCACCACCTCCAGTGTGAGATGCGACCCTGCCTCATCGAAGGCGCAGCGCGTTAACAGCGGAAGCTCCTAGTGGCGCATCCAACGAAAACCGAAACGACAACACAAGCTTCAAGTTAAGGCTCCCCTGTTTGGCCTGGTTTATGGGGAAACCAGAAGAACAACAAGCCGTTTTGTGGATGTTTTCCCCTGGTTTGAGACATGACCAATTTTTGGGTGCACTGGCATTCAGCCCACAACCCACCTTGCAATCTCCCCTTCCTCGAAGTACAAGCCCATGCCGTCCAAAGCCTCAGGTCCGCGGGTTCTGAACTCTTTGCGCCCCGGCCAGGGATCTTGACATACTCGAAGTGCAACACACTTGGGGATGGTCGGAAGTTCACACATTGATAGTGTCACTCCTACTTTGAATTGCTTCAACGCAACTCGAGAAAGGACACCCGTCTACGAAAACCAAGCAACATATCGAGTGTCTCCTGCACAGGGCCTTCAGGGCCTCTAAGGTCCAATCCAAGTCCCGCACGGATCTGCTTTCACTGAAGACGCTGTACTTCAACGGCTGATCCTAGTCCGAGTCGGGCTCTCCAGTTCCGGATTCCATCCCAGGCCTTCAGCCACCGAACCGATGACAACAACCGATCTGTGGTGCACTCGATCTGTGGAAACCTCCGCAGCATGTGGTCAGTCTCTCTGCAAAGCTTGAGGCTACCTGGTGTTGCTTGATGCCACTAGAAGGATGAGCTGCATGTGCTGCCTTCACACCCTAATCTTGGCAGTCCTGGGTCAAGATCACAATTTTGCCGCATACCAGCACTGCCAATATCTCCTTGCACGTAGCAGCGGTTCATTTGACACTTATTTGCCCACACTATGCATACTTGCAAACACAGAGAGTACCATGCCTATGACCATGTCATGTTTGAAAGTCGGTGACACACGCTTGCATAGATGCATGAGTTTCAGGCTGTGGTAAAGGCAATATGCGGTACAAGTCAAGTGCGCCGTAGGAATGCAATCGCTGATCCCCTGTCCCAATACCAACTGATTGCGCCCAAGCCAAACATCGCCTCCATCATCCCGAGAAGCTTGGCCCTTCCGGTCGCGACTGGTCGGCCGTGGGTCAAATCCCAATCCAACCACTAAAATAGGTTCTAAAATGGGCGGTACACCAACCCAAAAATGGTGCAATTGGTGTTGACCCACAGCCATGTCACAGGAAAGCACCTTTCAACTCTGAAAAATCCAGGGTCTCTGCTTCTGTGACAAGTACTGCAGGACACTTTCCTCTCATGACAAGTACTGCAGGACACTTTCCTCTCAAGGCTCCTCCACATAGCGCTGGCTCAGGCCCGCCGCCTCCGCGAGGCTTTTGGCACTGGTAGGCTCCTGTCAATGCAGCGATCGCTTTCTAGCGGCAGGACTTTCAGTTGACAGACTCGCACCGCGCGGGGGTTTGCCTGCAGTAAAAGTCGTGCACATACGTCTAAATCCTTGTTAATCCGCAAAGGCCGGGGCTAGTTGGACTCAACGGCCACTACGTGCATTCACAACAAGACACAACAAGAGACTGACAGTTCTTGCCTTTGTTGCTTTTACAAATGCCTGATGGTCTCACAGTCCATAACAGATTCATCAACATGTGAATGTGAAACCACAAACAACCGTGAACTTTGCTAACATATTTGTTGGGCCACTGGGATTCAATGGAAGATAGACACTCCAAGAATCCAACGAGCTTGCCCGTTTCGCGACGTCACGACGTCTAAATGAAAGAAGAATCGTCCTGGGTGTCATGCCCAGAAACGATTCCTGAACTAGAAATGAAGCGACCCAATTGAAAGGCGGTTTCTCGGTGATTGTGACACAATATCTAGGCACGTGCGACTTTGAGACAGGCTGCTTCGATTAAATCAGGCCAGAAAGCACTGCACACGCCTTCATTTGCACAATTGTCTCAAGTCAACTGCATTTGCATGTTGTATGATGCATCATGACTGAACATACATATTACATATGTGTGCATGCATCTGTCAACTAATATGAGCTGCATGGCATAGATAGCATACAAATAAATTCATGCGAGTTTCTCCTACCTGCCACCCCCCCGCCCCCGCCCAACACCCCCCCGCCCCTCCGTGGACAGCTTGCCCAGCAGGCCGCAGCGGGACGCCACCCCCAAGGCCGTGCTCACCGCAGAGGCGTTGAGCAGCTCCGTGAGCCGCTCCATTAGAACTGACGGGTTAGCTTCTGTGAACTCATGGGATTCCAGTGTGACCCCACATTTGGCGTGGTTACCTCACCATCCTTTTTTTCTGGGGAATGGAGCTGGAGGTAGGAAAAATGATGAACAAAGCTAGGGGTTGGGGGTGACCGGCTAAATGGGGGGGAGTCAAGCTGCAGAAAGCAAATGGACCCAACGAAATGGATTCGAACAGCCATGGGTCCACTTCCGTCTGCCTAAAAATCCTGGGGGGAGAGGGCAAGGACGGAGTGAGACGGAGTGATGGTGAATCGCGTTTTGCCAACCTTGCGGTCTTGATTTCATCGTGAGCCAATGGCTGAGGATCACCAGAACATTGGCCAGCTGCCGCGCTTCACAGCAATGGGGCTTCAAACTTCCAGCATCCCCACCCAACAAGCGAAATTGCGTCCAATTGGCCACGTGCAAACCAAAGAATTCTCTTGAGCACAAAGGATGAAAGTGAATCGTCCTTTCGAAATCGCTTGCTGGATCGACCACTGAGCAGCACACCTAGGAATCCTGCTGGCATGGTTGCAGGGAACAAACTTGATTAGCCTCGAAAACCGGCCATTTTATGTGTGTGTGTGTGTGCCTTGACTTGATGACCCGGCCAAGCCCCTGCTGACTAAGGCTTGGGCGGCCCGTTCGTTGCCACTCCACGGCGGCACCCAGCGCCGGCAGCACAGAGGCTTCCAAGGAAATCCCCACCTCAATGTGGCGCTCCTTTGTCAAGGGTGCCAGTTGTCAAGGATGGTGCACTTTTTGTCAAGGGCGCCCTTTTCTCAAGGGTGCCCTTTGTCAAAGGTGCCCTTTTCTCAAGGGTGCCCTTTGGCAAAGGTGCCCTTTTCTCAAGGGTGCCCTTTGTCAAAAGTGCCCTTTTCTCAAGGGTGCCCTTTGTCAAAGGTGCCCTTTTCTCAAGGGTGCCCTTTGTCAAAGGTGCCCTTTTCTCAAGGGTGCCCTTTGTCAAAGGTGTGCCCATTTCTCAAGGGTGCCCTTTGTGAAAGGGGTGCCCTTTTCTCGAGGGTGCCCTTTGTCAAAGGGGTGCCCTTTTCTCAAGGGTGCCCTTTGTCAAAGGGGAGCCCTTTTCTCAAGGGTGCCCTTTGTCAAAGGTGCCCTTTTCTCAAGGGTACCCTTTGTCAAAGGCGCCCTGTTCTCAAGGGTGCCCTTTGTCAAAGGTGCCCTTTTCTCAAGGGTGCCCTTTGTCAAAGGTGCCCTTTTCTCAAGGGTGCCCTTTGTCAAAGGTGCCCTTTTCTCAAGGGTGCCCTTTGTCAAAGGTGCCCTTTTCTCAAGGGTGCCCTTTGTCAAATGTGCCCTTTTCTCAAGGGTGCCCTTTGTATGGTGCCCTTTTCTCAAGGGTGCCCTTTTCTTAAGGGTGCCCTTTGTCAAAGGTGCCCTTTTCTCAAGCGTGCCCTTTGTCAAAGGTGCCCTTTTTTTAAGGGCGCCCTTTGTCAAAGGTGCCCTTTTCTCAAGGATGCCCTTTTCTCAAGGGTACCCTTTGTCAAAGGTGACCTTTTCTCAAGGGCGCCCTTTGTCAAAGGTGCCCTTTTCTCAAGGGTGCCCTTTGTCAAAGGTGTGGGGTGCCCTTTGTCAAACGGGTGCCCTTTTCTCAAGGGTGCCCTTTGTAAGGTGCCCCTTTCTCAAGGGTGCCCTTTGTCAAAATTGCAATTTTCTCAAGGGTGCCCTTTGTCAAAGGAGCCCTTTTCTCAAGGGTGCCCTTTGTCAAAGGTGCCCTTTTCTCAAGGGTGCCCTTTGTCAGAGGGGTGCCCTTTTTCCAAGGGTGCCCTTTGTCAAAGGTGCCCTTTTCTCAAGGGTGCCCTTTGTCAAAGGTTCCCTTTTCTCAAGGGTGCCCTTTGTCAAAGGTGCCCTTTTCCCAAGGGTGCCCTTTGTCAAAGGTGCCCTTTTCTCAAGGGTGCCCTTTGTTAAAGGTGTGCCCTTTTCTCAAGGGTGCCCTTTGTCAAAGGTGTGCCCTTTTCTCAAGGGTGCCCTTTGTCAAAGGTGCCCTTTTCTCAAGGGTGCCCTTTGTCAAAGGGGTGCCCTTTTCTCCAGGGTGCCCTTTGTCAAAGGTGCCCTTTTTCTCAAGGGTGCGCTTTGTCAAAGAGGTGCCCTTTTCTCAAGGGTGCCCTTTGTCAAAGGTGCCCTTTTCTCAAGGGCGCCCTTTGTCAAAGGTGCGCTTTTCTCAAGGGTGACCTTTGTCAAAATTTCCCTTTTCTCAAGGGCGCCCTGTGTCAAAGGTGCCCTTTTCTCAAGGGTGCCCTTTGTCAAAGGTGCCCTTTTCTCAAGGGTGCCCTTGTCAAAGGTGCCCTTTCTCAAAGGTGCCCTTTTCTCAAGGGTGCCCTTTGTCAAAGGTGCCCTTTTCTCAATGGTGCCCTTTGTCAAAGGTGCCCTTTGTCAAGGGTGCCCTGTGTCAAAGGTGCCCTTTTCTCAAGGGTGCCCTTTGTCAAAGGTGCCCATTTCTCAAGGGCGCCCTTTGTCAAAACTGCCCTTTTCTCAAGGGTGCCCTTTGTCAAAGGTGCCCTTTTCTCAAGGGTGCCCTTTGTCAAAGGTGTGCCCTTTTCTCAAGGGTGCCCTTTGTCAAAGGTGCCCTTTTTCTCAAGGGTGCCCTTTGTCAAAGGTGCCCTTTTCTCAACTTTTGTCAAGGGCGCCCTTTGTCAAAGGCGCCCTTTTCTCAAGGGTGTCCTTTGTCAAAGGTGCCCTTTTCTCAAGGGTGCCCTTTGTCAAAGGTGCACTTTTCTCAAGGGCGCCCTTTGTCAAAGGTGTGCCGTTTTCTCAGGGGTGCCCTTTGTCAAAGGTGTGCCCTTTTCTCAAGGGTGCCCTTTGTGAAAGGGGTGCCCTTTTCTTGAGGGTGCCCTTTGTCAAAGGTGCCCTGTTCTCAAGGGTGCCCTTTGTCAAAGGTGTGCCCTTTTCTCAAGAGTGCCCTTTGTCAAAGGTGCCCTTTTCTCAAGGGTGCCCTTTGTCAAAGGTGCCCTTTCTCCAAGTGCCCGTTGTCAAAGGTGCCCTTTTCTCAAGGGTGCCCTTTGTTAAATGTGCCCTTTTCTCAAGGGTTGCCCTTTGTCTAAGGTGTGCCCTTTTCTCAGGGTGCCCTTTGTCGATTAAAGGTGCGACCTTTCTCAAGGGTTTTCCCCTTTGTCAAAGGGGTGCCCTTTTTCTCAAGGGGTGCCCTCTTTCACAAGGGTGCGCTTTGTCTAAGAGGTGCCCTTTTCTCGGTGCCCTTTGCAAAGGTGCCCTTTTCATCAAGGGCGCCCTTGTCAAAGGTGCCCTTTTCTTCAAGGTGACCTTTTTGTCAAAACTTCCCTTTCTCAAGGGCGCACTGTGGTCAAAGGTGCCCTTTTCTCTAGGGTGCCCTTTGGTCAAAGGTTGCCCTTTCTCAGGTGCCCATTGTCCAAGTTGCCTTTGTCATAGTGCCCGTTTCTCACGGGTGCCCTTTGTCAAAGGTGCCCTTTTCTCAATGGTGCCCTTTGTCAAAGGTGCCCTTTGTCAAGGGTGCCCTGTGTCAAAGGTGCCCTTTTCTCAAGGGTGCCCTTTGTCAAAGGTGCCCTGTTCTCAAGGGTGCCCTTTGTCAAAATTGCCCTTTTCTCAAGGGCGCCCTTTGTTAAAGGTGTGCCCTTTTCTCAAGGGTGCCCTTTGTCAAAGGTGTGCCGTTTTCTCAGGGGTGCCCTTTGTCAAAGGGGTGCCCTTTTCTCAAGGGTGCCCTTTGTGAAAGGGGTGCCCTTTTCTCGAGGGTGCCCTTTGTCAAAGGGGTGCCCTTTTCTCAAGTGTGCCCTTTGTCAAAGGGGAGCCCTTTGCTCAACTTTGTCAAAGGTGCCCTTTTCTCAAGGGTGCGCTTTGTCAAAGCTAAAGGGGTGCCCTTTTTCCAAGGGTGCCCTTTGTCAAAGAGGTGCCCTTTTCTCAAGGGTGCCCTTTGTCAAAGGGGAGCCCTTTTCTCAAGGGTGCCCTTTCTTTGTCAAAGGTGTGCCCTTTTCTCAAGGGTGCCCTTTGTCAAAGGTGCCCTTTTCTCAAGGGTGCCCTTTGTCAAAGGTGCCCTTTTCTCAAGGGCGCCCTTTGTCAAAAGTGCCCTTTTCTCAAGGGTGCCCTTTGTCAAAGGTGCCCTTTTCTCAAGGGCGCCCTTTGTCAAAGTTGCAAAGGTGCCCTTTTCTCAAGGGTGCCTGGCAAAGGCGCCCTTTTCTCAAGGGTGCCCTTTGTGGCCAAAGGTGCCCTTTTCTCAAGGTGCTCGTTGCCTAGGTGCCATTTCTCAAGTTAGCCCTTTGTCAAGGTGCCCTTTTTCTCAAGGGGCCCTTGTCAAAGGTGCCCTTTTCTCAAGGGTGCCCTTTGTCAAAGGTGCCCATTTCTCAAGGGTGCCCTTTGTCAAAATTGCCCTTTTCTCACGGGCGCCCTTTGGTGCCCTTTTCTCAAGGGTGCCCTTTGTAAGGTGCCCTTTTCTCAAGGGTGCCCTTTGTCAAAGGTGCCCTTTTCTCAAGGGTACCCTTTGTCAAAGGTGCCCTTTCCTCAAGGGTGCCCTGTGTCAAAGGTGCCCTTTTCTCACGGGTGCCCTTTGTCAAAGGTGCCCTTTTCTCAATGGTGCCCTTTGTCAAAGGTGCCCTGTTCTCAAGGGTGCCCTTTGTCAAAGGTGTGCACTTTTCTCAAGGGTGCCCTTTGTCAAAGGTGCCCCTTTCTCAAGGGTGCCCTTTGTCAAAGGTGCCCTTTTCTCAAGGGTGCCCTTTGTCAAAGGTGCCCTTTCTCAAGGGTGCCCTTTGTTAAAGGTGTGCCCTTTTCTCACGGGTGCCCTTTGTCAACGGTGCGACCTTTTCTCAAGGGTGCCCTTTGTCAAACGGGGGCCCTTTTCTCAAGGGTGCCCTTTGTCAAAGGGGTGCCCTTTTCTCAAGGGTGCCCGTTGCCAAAGGTGCTCTTTTCTCAAGGGTGCCCTTTGTCAAAGGTGCCCTTTTCTCAAGGGTGCCCTTTGTCAAAGGTGCCCTTTTCTCAAGGGCGCCCTTTGTCAAAGGTGCCCATTTCTCAAGGGTGCCCTTTGTCAAAATTTCCCTTTTCTCAAGGGCGCCCTGTGTCAAAGGCGCCCTTTTCTCAAGGGTGCCCTTTGTCTAAGGCGCCCTTTTCCCAAGGGCGCCCTTTGTCAAAGGTGCCCTTTCCGCAAAGGTGCCCCCTGTCAAAGGTCCCCTTTGTCAAGGGTGCCTTTTGTCAAAGGTGCCCTTTGTCAAGGGCGCCCTTTGTCAAAGGTGTGCCGTTTTCTCAGGGGTGCCCTTTGTCAAAGGTGTGCCCTTTTCTCAAGGGTGCCCTTTGTGAAAGGGGTGCCCTTTTCTCGAGGGTGCCCTTTGTCAAAGGGGTGCCCTTTTCTCAAGTGTGCCCTTTGTCAAAGGGGAGCCCTTTGTCAAAGGTGCCCTTTTCTCAAGGGTGCCCTTTTCTCAAGGGTGCCCTTTTCTCAAGGGTGCGCTTTGTCAAAGCTAAAGGGGTGCCCTTTTCTCAAGGGTGCCCTTTGTCAAAGGGGTGCCCTTTTTCCAAGGGTGCCCTTTGTCAAAGAGGTGCCCTTTTCTCAAGGGTGCCCTTTGTCAAAGGGGAGCCCTTTTCTCAAGGGTGTTTTTTTGTGAAAGGTGTGCCCTTTTCTCAAGGGTGCCCTTTGTCAAAGGTGCCCTTTTCTCAAGGGTGCCCTTTGTCAAAGGTGCCCTTTTCTCAAGGGTGCCCTTTGTTGAAGGTGCCCTAAAGCCCTTTTCTCAAGGGCGCCC